AAGCAAAAGTTAACTTTTGAAGTTATAGTTTTGTAAAACAATATAGTACTTTTTACAAACTTTAAAAAATTGAATCAACATGGTTTCAATATTAGTGATACCAGTAATTTTGATATTAATTATTGTGAGTATGTGTTATGGTGAAATAAGAATGTTGCAAGCTACAATCAGACATGGAAATCGATATCCTACTCAAAAAGCGTACGTTGTAAAGTTTTATCCAAATGATCCTTATATAAATTATACTTGGGCGCCTTATGGTCCTATGAAGTTAACAAACGTAGGTGTCATTAATTTAATTAAATAAATTCACTCGATCAAAATCAAAGTCATAGAATAATTCAATGCATTAATTCGGTCGCATTAATAGAATAATTAATTTTTAATAAATTTTATTTCTAGAAAGGAAAACTTAATGCATACAAATTGGGTGAACTTTTCCAAAATAGATATAAAAATTTACTTGGAACAATTTACAAAGCTAATGAAATTATTTTCGGTGCGCTCGATTCAAATAGAACCATTAATACTGCACAGTTGATTGCATCAGGTATTTATCCAGAGTTTCGTCAGAGAAGAAACCAAAGCTCGGGTCCAATACAAGCGTCAGTTCACGTTGAAGTTGGTGAAAAAAATCTTTACTACCCGATGATTTTCTGTGAAAATTATTTTATTGACAGGCAAAAAGCAGATTTAATAGTAGCTGGATTATTTGATCGTAAAGAATTACAAAAGTTTAGCGATTATTTAGCAGTTCATACCACAGTAAAATTTTCACCTTTTTTGCATAGTTGGTTTCTTTATAATTCATTTGTTGCTCAGGTATTTACATAATAATTATTACTTGTTAATTGTAAAAAAAAAAAAGAAAGAAGAAAGAAGTAAATTTTAGTTTACTTATTTACTTTAGGTTGATCTCGGTCTTGAATTAAAGTCATGGACAGATTCGATCTTCCCAAATGGAAAACTTTTGGAGATGACTGCATTTGAATATAGACTTCAGACTTATACGAACCGAATGAAACGTCTTGTTGGAGGAGTTTGGATAAAATCATTTTTGGACCACGCTGATAATTTCGTTAATCATGTCAGCTCAGATCGAAAAGCTAATTTCTTCGTCGCGAGTGAAATGCATGTTGCTGCTATCTTGAATACTCTAGGAGTATACACACCTCATTTTCCAAGTTATCTTAGTGCAGTAATTTTTGAATTACATGAAATAAACAGAGAATTTTATATTCAGGTTTGCTTTTTTCTTATTTAAAAAAATTCTTATTTTAATTTTTTAAGTAAAATAAAACTTGATAAATTTTTTTTCTTAGGTTGTCCATAGGAATGAAGATAGATCTTCGGTTCTAATAATACCAGGGTGCGACGGAGCCCTTTGTCGACTTGAACAATTCAAAAAAGTTTTAAAGGACGTTACGCTGTATAATTTTGATAAGGATTGCGGGAACCGTGATTTTTTTCCAATTCTTTAGTATTTTTAAATAAATCATTAAATATAATTTATCAGCTAGTAATTACTTTACTTTATTATTTATTAATTGTGGAATTTTTCCATAAAGATAAATTTATTTTTATAGAACAAGAAAAAGTTAAAAATTGGATTAAATAGAAATTATCTGAACGGATGTCAAAGTATATTGACTTTTGGATTTTTTAAACAACAAAGTAATTAAAATTATTAATCGTTTTATAAAAAATACATAAAAATTATATTTTTTTGTACATAATTCCACTGCAATAATATTCATCAGACTGTTTTTAAATATTAATTTTTTTAATAGATGTATGTAAGAAATATACAGATAAAAAAAATGTATATGATCTTCTTGACGTTTTCTTTCCTATATAATTATTTATAAGTAAGAGTTTAGTTTTTTTATCATTCAAATATTTTTTTCAAAATTTTTTACATTTGTTGTATAAATATAAAAGAAATTCGTTAAAAAATAAAGTACTTAAAAATAATTGCTCACGTTCAAAAATAAAATTGATCGCTGATAAGCGCAATTCGACGTGGTCAAGTATATCTGGATGTACAATTTACAACAATAAAGCTTCAATTATTTTTAAAAAAACAAAATCATATATATAATGGCATCGGTTGAACAAAAAAACATTAAGAATTTAGCGTTTTGCTGAATTGGATTAATTTTTTAGAAAATTGTTAACTTTTTTCGTTGAAATTAGAAAATCAATCATAATGGAGACTGCTCCAAAAATTACAATATTAATTGTTAGTTTACTCATGTTGAACACTTGTAATGCTGAAATTAAAATGATCATTTAAGGCTTATTTGTCTAAATATTCAATTCTTCTTCCAACCTTCCAACTTTATTGCTATTTCTTCTTCAAAGCAAGTGGAATTAAGTAGAATTAGACTCGCATGATAAAATATCCAGAAATTTTTTTTGCGTTATTGAAAAAATTTTTTAATGTGGTTTTTTTTTAATCATTTGAAATAATGACTTTCCATCATACAATTAAAACTGTGAAGTTAAGTATATTAGAAAAGATTGTTTAATTTTTATATTTATCTATGAGTTTTACTTGCATACCGTTATCTGGTTTTTACAAGGCTGATATCCCCACTCTCGTTTAATTTTTATATACAATTTTAATGTATTGATTGTGTGGAAAATAAAAATTATTAGCACGTGGAAAATGAATAAAAATCAAGGCTTATTGTCAGTCGCGACGTGTTGATAATTTTTTACGATGTGCCTGAGGAAGTGGTAATAACTGAATATTACCTTATCTTTAAATATTAAAATATTTTTATCTTTAAATATTAAAAGACAATGATTCTAACATATGATCTTGACTCTCAAAAAATTTATCTTTTTCTCATGATCTGAAATTATTGAATGAAATTATACAATAAGCTCAATATTTTAATTTACCTTAATAATCTATACCTTTCAGGGAATTAGTAAAATTAGAAGTTAGTAAGCAACTAGAAGCATCTCAATATAATTTTCTTATATATTTTAATTTAATTCTATTCTTCAGAAAACAGAATGATTTTTTGCTAATTTAATTATTCTATTTAATTTTATCACGATGATTTATAAATTACTCAATTGTGTACTAGTACTTAATTTAATTAAATATGTCACATCAGTAGATGATGAATTAAAATTTGTGACGTTATATTGATTTTCATTAACTATCTTTTGATAAGTTTTCATAATAGAAAATTTTTTTGCCAGGTTTTTCGTCATGGAGATCGTACATCAGTCGAAGATGAAACTTATCCAAATGACCCGTATTTACATGATGATTATCATCCATTAGGAAATGCACAATTGACTGTTGTAAGTATATTGTCAAACTTTATTTTTTGCCTACAATAAATGATAGTTAATTAATTAATCAGTTCTTCTAATTAGAAAGGTAAACAACGAGTGTATCAATTAGGACAAACATTACGTATTCTCTACAACGATTTTCTGGGCGATATTTATATTCCAAAAAATCTGGTAGCTCTGAGTACAGGTACTACCAGGACACAGATGTCATTGCAGCTCGTAGCAGCTGCACTTTATCCTCCAAAAGGCCCACAAGTTTGGAACGAATCTTTGAATTGGCAGCCAATTCTTACATCTTATGTTCCAGAAGATAAAGATGTTTTTTTGAAATCTGTTACTTGTTCCGAGTAAGCGAAAATATAAATATAATCAATTCAAGTATTAGGTTCTTTAGTAAGTACTTTACTGTAAATTATATTCTGAATAGATATCTAGAAGAATTTAAAAAAGTAAAAGAGCTGCCTGATGTAAAAAATTTAATGGAACAATTTCGTCCTCTTATGCAAAATATTTCAGCAGCGACTGGAAAAGAAATAACAACGTTTTATCAATTATTTCTTTTGTCCAATGGATTAACAGCTTTGGCTGGATTAGAACGTCCACTTCCTAAGTGGTCTGAAGGAATTTTTCCTGATGGTCCGCTCCTTGATGCCGTAAATTTTGAGTATAAAATAATATTTTACAATGACAAACTGAAAAGATTGAGAAGTGGTAAGTTTTTTCAATTTTATTTGAGACTTAAGTATTAAATAATTGTTTGTTAATTAACTTACGGCTTTAGGTCGACTTCTTAGAAATATAACTGATACAATGAAAGATATAGTTGATGAAAAACCAAATTATCATCCAAAAATGAATCTCTTCAGCGGCCACGATCAAACTGTTGTCGCGCTTCTTGCTATTCTTAGTGACTATGTTCCACATGTTCCAAAATTTTCAAGTAGTGTTATGGTTGAACTGTTGCGGAGAAATGATAGTTATTTTGTTAAATCCTTTGATGATGTAAATAAAATATAGTGTGTGTAATATGACTGATATTTCGAAATAAAATGACTATTAATTTCTTGGCATAAAATTATTTTAAATTCAATATAGTAGTATAAATTATAATCTTCAAATGTTTTGTATGTCTAGGTAGTCTGTTACAATATTGAAAGTTTAAAACTCCAAAAATAATTTGATTTGTCAATTGAAAAAAAAAAAAATCTATCTATAACTCTACGAAATTAAAATTTAGAAAAACTTCAAAAATCATTTTGTTAGTATTTTTTTTTTTGCAGACAGAAGTGCATGATTAAAATTTCATTATTGCTTTATCATTGTAAAAATATTAGTCGTTGGCATTCACTCATTGACTTATACTCGCAGTTCAAAATACTTCTTTTTATATGTGCTTAGATAAAGTATATTGCTTTAGTTGTTTGACGATAAACTATCATATATATAGGCAAAATTTTACAAACAAAAAATATTCATCTCTCGGTTGTTGTTTACGTTGACAGATATTTCAAAGTAATACTACACTGGACCTAAAAAAAGATTACTCAATTTTCATTAACACGCCTATTACATCACTCTCTTTTTTCACGTATTCGCGTTTAGTTACACAATCAAGAAAGTTAGTCGCTTGAAAAAATAAAAATACAAAAATAGAACCCAGTAATTCAACATTTTGAGCAAAGATGTTCGAGACGAAGTGGTCAGTTTTAATGTTTATTTCGATCTTCTTTAATATTTCTGATGCGAAATTGATCCTGATTCAAGCAACAATGCGTCATGGAAATCGATATCCTTCGGAGAGGGATTATGCTGTCACTTACTATCCAAATGATCCATATATCAATTATACCTGGGCACCTGCTGGACCAATGAAACTGACAGATGTGAGTGTATTTATTTTGTAACTGTTTAAATTGTCATTAAAGTATGAACAGGCGAATAAATTAAATAAATGTAAGAAGAAATGATAAAAATGTTTTGATTTTCAGAAAGGAAAGCAAAATTCGTTAACAATGGGTCATTTTTTACAAGAAAGATATAAAGAATTAATCGAACCGGTTTATGACAAAGACTCTGTTTATTTTCGCGCTCTCTTTGAAGAAAGAACAATTAATACTGCGCGTTTGGTTGCGGTAGGTATGTTTCCAAATTCTCACGGTAACATACATTGGAACTCTAGTTTAGAAAATATAACAATTACGATTGACTCGGAAGAAAAAGATAAAGATTATTTAAACTACGCAAAATATATGTGTGAAAATTATTTAATCGATAGAAAAAATTCGGATGTTCAAGTACAAAAAATGTTTAGTATTTTTTCTGATGTAAAAAATTTTTATAATTATTTATCGGAACATACTGGAATTACTCACTTAAACGCTTATCAAAGTTATCTTCTTTACGGGCAATTTGTTTCTGAGGTAAAAAGAATTTTACAACATTATGACGAGCTATATGAATCATACCTATGATAAGAAAATAACTGCATTTTTATTTTTCTAGTCTAATCTTGGCCTTGAGTTAGAGGAATGGACAAAATCTATATTTCCAAATGGGAAACTTTTGGAGTTGAGCGCTGTTGAGTATCTATTACAAACGTGGACACCGCGTATGAAACGACTTATAGGTGGAGTTTGGATAAAAAATTTTTTGAACCGCACTCAAGATTTATTGAGCGGCAAAAATATCCAGAGAAAAGGGTACTTTTATGTTTACAGCGAACATCACGTGGCGGCGATATTAAACGCTTTAGATATTTATGAGCCACACGTTCCGCATTATTTAAGTTCAGTGATTTTTGAGCTGCATGAAGTCGATAATAAATATTATGTCAAGGTATGAAAAATAATTAAATATAAAAACAATGATTTTACTGTTTCTTGAAATGATTAATTTTAAATAATTACAGGTGGTTCATAAAAATGAAGATATAATTAAAGAAGTTGTTATCAAAGGTTGTGAATCTTTGCTTTGTCCGCTTGATACCTTCAAAATGGTCTTGAAGGATGTTATTCTTGAAAATTTTGAAGAAGATTGTGGAAGATTTGGACATTTTTCTCATCTTAATGTGCAACAATAATAATACCTCTGTCATTAGACGAATAATTCGTTTTATAATAACGAGCAATGTATCCCTGATTAAAAAAAAGTATTGAAAAGTATTGAAAAAGTATGTAATTCAATAATTTTTCAATACTTTTCACACACTGTATATCTATATATACATACAATATAGATATACAGTTGCATGGTTCAATACTTTTTTTAAATCAGGGATGATATAACTTTGCTGTTTTTTCTTTATTATGAAATATGTCCATACAAAATAATCTAAGCTTATTTTACTGATATAAAATAAATTTTTGGATAAAATAAAGGCTCATACCATTTTTATTAAGAAAAAAAATGAAGTTTTGGAATTTATAGGTCAAATTTTTTTACAAATTCTTTACTAATTGTCTCTGTAATTTATAAAGGATATATAATGATTTATAAACAGGTATCCTTTGCTGAAGGACCGGGAAAACAGGTTCTAGCAGGTAAAATTATTTTGGATTTGTTTAAACTCCAACGATTGATTTGAGAATCATTTATAGATAAAAAGATCCCTTGAGAGCAACATCAGTATTTTTCCTTTTCAGTAGAAAGCAAAAGTTAACTTTTGAAGTTACAGTTTTGTAAAACAATATAGTACTTTTTACAAACTTTAAAAAATTGAATCAACATGGTTTTAATATTAATGATACCGGTAATTTTGGTATTAATTATTGTGAGTATGTGTTATGGTGAAATAAGAATGTTTCAAGCTCCAATCAGACATGGAAATCGATATCCTACTCAAAAAGCGTACGCTGTAAAGTTTTATCCAAATGATCCTTATATAAATTATACTTGGGCGCCTTATGGGTCTATGAAGTTAACAAACGTAAGCGTCATATTAATAATTCGATTGCATTAATAGAATAATTAATTTTTGATAAATTTGCTAACATTTAATAATTTTTTGATAAATTTGCTAACAAACGTAAAGTATCATTAATTAAATAAATTCACTCGATCAAAATCAAAGTCATAGAATAATTCGGTCGCATTAATAGAATAATTAATTTTTAATAAATTTTATTTCTAGAAAGGAAAAATTAATACTTACAAATTGGGTAAACTTTTTCAAAATAGATATAAAAATTTACTTGGAACAATTTACAAAGCTAATGAAATTTTTTTCGGTGCGCTTGATTCAAATAGAACTATTAATACTGCGCAGTTGATTGCATCAGGTATTTATCCAGAGTTTCGTCAGAGAAGAAACCAAAGCTCGGGTCCAATACAAGCGTCAGTTCACGTTGAAGTTGGTGAAAAAAATCTTTACTACCCGATGATTTTTTGTGAAAATTATTTTATTGACAGGCAAAAAGCAGATTTAATAGTAGCTGGATTATTTGATCGTGAAGAATTACAAAAGTTTAGCGATTATTTAGCAGTTCATACCACAGTAAAATTTTCACCTTTTTTGCATAGTTGGTTTCTTTATAATTCATTTGTTGCTCAGGTATTTACATAATAATTATTACTTGTTAATTGTAAAAAAAAAAAGAAAGAAGAAAGAAGTAAATTTTAGTTTACTTATTTACTTTAGGTTGATCTCGGTCTTGAATTAAAGCCATGGACAGATTCGATCTTCCCAAATGGAAAACTTTTGGAGATGACTGCATTTGAATATAGACTTCAGACTTATACGAACCGAATGAAACGTCTTGTTGGAGGAGTTTGGATAAAATCATTTTTGGACCACGCTGATAATTTCGTTAATCATGTCAGCTCAGATCAAAAAGCTAATTTCTTCGTCGCTAGTGAAATGCATGTTGCTGCTATCTTGAATACTCTAGGAGTATACACACCTCATTTTCCAAGTTATCTTAGTGCAGTAATTTTTGAATTACATGAAATAAACAGAGAATTTTATATTCAGGTTTGCTTTTTTCTTATTTAAAAAAATTCTTATTTTAATTTTTTAAGTAAAATAAAACTTGATAAATTTTTTTTCTTAGGTTGTCCATAGGAATGAAGATAGATCTTCGGTTCTAATAATACCAGGGTGCGACGGAGCCCTTTGTCGACTTGAACAATTCAAAAAAGTTTTAAAGGACGTTACGCTGTATAATTTTGATAAGGATTGCGGGAACCGTGATTTTTTTCCAATTCTTTAGTATTTTTAAATAAATCATTAAATATAATTTATCAGCTAGTAATTACTTTACTTTATTATTTATTAATTGTGGAATTTTTCCATAATGATAAATTTATTTTTATAGAACAAGAAAAAGTTAAAAATTGGATTAAATAGAAATTATCTGAACGGATGTCAAAGTATATTGACTTTTGGATTTTTTAAACAACAAAGTAATTAAAATTATTAATCGTTTTATAAAAAATACATAAAAATTGTATTTTTTTGTACATAATTCCACTGCAATAATATTCATCAGACTGTTTTTAAATATTAATTTTTTTAATAGATGTATGTAAGAAATATACAGATAAAAAAATGTATATGATCTTCTTGACGTTTTCTTTCCTGTATAATTATTTATAAGTAAGAGTTTAGTTTTTTTATCATTCAAATATTTTTTTCAAAATATATAAAAAAAAAAATTCGTTAAAAAATAAAGTACTTAAAAATAATTGCTCACGTTCGAAAATAAAATTGATCGCTGATAAGCGCAATTCGACGTGGTGAATTATGTCTGGATATAAAATTTACAGCAATGAAGCTTCAATTATTTTTAGAAAAATAAAATCATATATATAATGGCATTGGTTGAACAAAAAAAAACATTCCGAATTTAGCGTTTTGCTGAATTGGATCAATTTTTTAGAAAATTGTTCACTTTTTTCGTTGAAATTATAAAATTAATTATGATGGAGACTGCTCCAAAAATTACAATATTAATTGTTAGTTTATTCATGTTGCATACTAGCAATGCTGAAATTAAAATGATTCAAGCAACAATAAGACATGGAGATCGGTACCCTGAAAGCAAACAGTCTTTACTCTTGATTTATCCAAATGATCGGTATTTTAATGATACTTGAGAACCGTACGGAAAAATGGGGCTGGCAGAAGTAAGTATAATAACTAATAACTTATTTTTATGACTTTTTATACTTCAATCGTTATATTTTTTATACTGTTTATAATTATATACTAAGTTTTTTTTTTTTAATAATTTTTTTTTTTCTAGAAAGGTAAAGCAAATGCTTTTAAAATGGACATGTTTTTAAGAAAAAGATACGATGAATTATTGGGATGGACTTATGATGAAAATGAAGTTTATTTTCGGTCTACTGATACTAGTAGAACAATTACTACTGGTTGGTGGGTCGCAGCCGGCCTTTACTCAAATCCCAGACCACATTATTGGAATTCAACACTATATCCAATATATATTCCAATTAACGTGGTATCTTATGAAGAAGATGCTCTTAATAACGCATTCGTATTGTGCGAAAATTACTTACTTAAAATCGATAAACAAATATCCGAGAACATTGTAAAACAGCAAGAAGATTTCAAAAAATTAGGAATGCTTCTTGAGTTTTTATCAGCTCACACTGGTATTGAACATTCAAACAGTTCTCAAAGCTTTGTTCTTTATCATAATTTCGTTGCTCAGGTATTGAATTTATATCAATAATATTCCAATAAAATAACTAATTCATGTATTTTTCTGTTAGACTAATCTTGGTCTTGAGACTGAACCGTGGGTGGCCTCGGTCTTTCCATATGGACAACTTTGGAATATGAGCGTTATTGAATACAAGATTCAAAGTTACACAAACAGAATGAAGCGGCTTACTGGTGGAATTTGGATTAGAAAATTTTTGGACCATGTCAATAATTTTGTTCAGAAAACAGACAATCATAAGGCATACTTTTATATCAATCATGAATTCCATACCGTAGCGATTCTTAATACTCTTGGAGTTTATGATCTTCATATTCCAAGCTATCTTAGCACCGTGATATTCGAATTACATGAAATTAGTAATGAACTTTATGTTAAGGTTAGTTAAATTTTATCAGGATTCTAAATTACATTTCATATTTGAATGGAAAATTTTTAATAATTATTGTGTCATATACTTTCAGGTGATTCACAAGAATGGCCACATGCTGAATGAAATTGTAATCCCAGGATGCCAAAAATCGCTTTGCTCGCTTAAAACATTTGAAAAAGTTTTGAAGGCATTTTTGAGTTCCTATCATGAATTTTCGAACAATTTGCAGCATGATTACAATCTCAATAAAATGAAAAAAAGTTTATATTAAATAAATAATACTAAATTGATATTTGTTTTTTTATTTATTCAATTTATCTACTTTGTTCAAACTGACAAACCTGAAAAAAATTTAACACAATTTGTAAAGAATGTTATTTAAAATCTAACGCTGATAAATCTAAACCATGGCATTTAAATCATAAAATTTTTTTAATTATTCCAAAATGTGTAAATAATTTATAATCCGCAAGCCTATTGAAATTCCAGAGTTTATCGTGATTTGGACTGAATGTCAAATGTTCTCTATATTAAAGAACCGACACAATCCTTGATACCTACTCTAAGCTTCTTTCAATAATTTTTATTTTTCACTTTAATCCATATCGAGTTGTGACTAATCTCTACAATTATTTGCTACATTTTATTACTTATAGTCTTGTTCCAAGACCAAATGTAGCAATTAACTCCTCCCTCTTTAAATCGCACTTTAAATAGTCATAGATATTTTATTCCTTCATTACGCATAACGTAACACGGATTATTGATATATTTTGATAATAATTTAATAATAATAAATTTTCTTAATGAGTAAAGCTATAAATAAGTAACTAAAAAATTTGTACTATAAAACTGATATGGACGGATGTCGAAATACATTGACTTGATGATTTTAAAAAATAATAAAAAATAATAAAAAATCAAAATCTCTATACTACATTAATTAATAAATAAGTTATAATTTAAAAGTATACTTAAGTATAAGGCAGATAAATAATACTCTATTAAAAAATTTTTAAGTACCATTGGCAAGACTAAAATTAGATTATGGAATGATATTTTTTTTATCATTACCGTAATATATGGCTATTTGTACGGCGTACATATTTATCAATGACTCTTATAGTAATAATTTAATTTATAAATTTAAAAAAGTATTTAAAAGGCACTCGACGTGTAAAAATTTGCCAAAAGTATTAATAATATAATTTTTAAAAAATTATTTGAACACATGCTGTCATTGCATCAAGTTACCTTTCTCAAATAATCCCAATAACAAACTTTACTTCAACGGTGAGGGAATAGGAGAGTATCTATCATAAGACGGAGCAGGAAGCGCCAACGAAGGCGGCAAACTTGTAGTACTTGTAACCGTGCTGTCCAATTTCCTGGCCTCATGCTCCAACAAAACAGCATCCAAAGACGGATCTTGGGAGACAGTTTTCAAAGAATCACCCAGTGCTTGACGTAAGTGCTGCATTTCTCTGCCAGCTCGCGTGCTACGCAGTACATAAAGCTGTCGACGTTTTATTTCCTGGCTCAACTGTTCTCTTAACAGTTGAATCTGGTTTTCCAGCCGTAGAACCTGCTGCCGATGACTCTGCTCGCGAGCTTCCAGCAATTTCTCAGCTTGAAGTTGAGCAGCTCTTAGTCTTTCAATTTCCGCCATCCGATCGCGACTTGAATCTCTCGCCGAGTGTGAATGACTGTGAAGTGTCTTGCATCTGACATGTTCAGCCTCTTTCTCAGCCAGGAGAGTCTCTAGTCTGCGAATTTTCAACCGTAGATCGCGATTCTCCTGCTCAAGAAGATCAACACTGACATTGGAGCCCATCAACTCAACATGAGCCTTCTCTGGACGTTCGTAGCTCTTGCTTCGTCCTCCACTAGCTCTAGCAGAAGCCAGTTGTCTCTCCAGATTGCGCTTGTCGACCTCTAGAAGCCGTACTTTGTCGTTCAATGCATCCAGCTTGCCTCGCATCTCGCTGCGGTCTCGTTGAACTGCATGCAATTGTCTCACCACCTCGTCGTCCTTATTCGAAGGACTCTCTTGTGGCCAGGTTGCCAGTCTGAGCTGCGACTCTAGACCAGATCGCTGAACCTCATTATTCGCCAGGTCATTTTGTAACCGCGAGTTCTGGTCCATCAGAGTTTGATTCGCGTGTTTCAGCTCCATAACCGATTGCTGAGCCACGTCCAACCTTTCTGAAACAACTCGTCGCTCATTATCAGCATTAGCCAGTTGTTTTTGAAGCTGCTTCACGCGGTCGTTGATACTCTGCATCTGCGCGTTATTTTCCATTATCGTTCGTCGCATTGAATTTATTTCACTCTTCAGCTCACTCTCAGTAGCAGCTGCCCGCTCCAAACAGAGATTCAACTGTTCTATAGTGGACTTCAATGACGCGCAACGCTCTTCCAGACCGCTTGATGTTTTAACTTGAGCATCAAACCGGTCTTGCAGTTTCTGGAGATTCCCATCTTTCTCCTGCAAAACCATTTGCAGCCGCTGCAAATCTCCTTCCAGTGACATTCGTTGCAATTCTAATTTAGTCGCTCGAGCCTCAGATCTTCCTAAATCTTCTTGCAAGCTACGCTTTTCATTATCACATCTACCAAAGGCTTGTCTCATTTTCTCCAATTTCTCCTCATACTGACCCTTTTCTTCAGACTCGCTGCTAACAGTCAGCTCCAAAGCCGTCACCTTTTCACGTAAGTATTCATTTTCTTGAGTCTTTTGGTGTAACGCCTCATGTAAACTCTGGTAAGACGTTTGTTTTTGCGACAATTGTCCTTCCAATGAAGCTTTTTCATCCTGAATATTCCTCAAAGTAATACTGATATTGTTTATCTTAGAGTCAGATTTAGTCTGACACTCCAGAGCTTCAGCCAATTGTTTTTTAACATTACTCAACTCGTTTTTGCAATCATCTCTTTCGCGTTCGATTTGAGCGACCTGCTGCATGAGCGAGCGTACGCCTTTCCTTACAGCTTCAGGATCGACATCCAGAATCACGTCACGACTGACATCATGCTCCTGATGAGAAGCTCGCGCTGGACTCCACCTCCTCGAAGGACTCATCAGCTTGAACGGCATATTGACAGAACCATCCAGTTGAATACCAGCAATTCGTCTTAAAGTCGACCCGACACTGCTCAATTTCTGCTCGACATCCTTTTTAGCAGCCTCCAATTGAGCCAGCTGACTGTCCAGAGCTCTAACCCGCCCTTCGGAGCCGCCAAAACGAGCTTTGAGCTCTTGAAGTTGCTGAGATGCATCAGCCAGGCACACCTCCAAATTATGTTTCTGATCTTCGAGCTTTCTTTCTCTGCAACGACTGTCTTCAAGTCTTACCAGAAGCTCCTGTTCTCTTGCCCGCCATCTTTCATCTTCTTCATCAGCTCGTGATCTCAATTTGCCCATGTCTTGTCTCGTTACCTCTAAACTGTTGTCCAGATCAATAACTTGTTTCTTAAGCTGGTGTAGCTGCAATTGAAGACGTTCTCTCTCCTCAATTTCATTAGCCAAGCGACCTTGTAATTCCCGTTCTTCATTCTGCGCTTGAGAATTAGCAGACTGACTCTTTTGTAATTCACCTTCCGTGAACCGAAGCTGCTGTTGGATTTGTATTATCTCATGCTCCATATCTCTTATTTGTCCTTGAAGCCGTGATTTTTCAGCTTCAAGAGCTGTTCGCGCGTCTTCCATCGTCGCTATCTTTTGATAAGCTTCCTCCAGCGCTCGAGACTGCTCTCTTTTCTCGCCTTCAATGCGTTTTACATGCTCCCTCAATTCTTTATTAGTATTATTATACTTATCCATAGCGAAATTCGAGTCAGCCAACTGCCTTCGCACATCCACTAGTTCTTTCCTCAAAGACTCGATGGTATTTTCCGTATCTTTGAGCTTCCTGGTGGTCTCATGCAACTGATTCTGCAGACTGTCAACCTTGTCCTCCGCAACTTGTAGCTGAACTCTTAATTCTTCACACTCTTTTTGAGCTGACTCGCGTTCTTTCCACATGTCTTCGATCTTCAATTCAAGTTTCATTTTTTCTTCGTCATCTTGCAATTTAGTTTCCTCTAATTTCGTCTTCATTCTACTCAATTCATCCCGGAGTTGATTAATATTAGTACGGTCTTGCTCTGCGCGTGCATTCGCTTCTCTTCTCAAGCGATCTAAAGTTCCCTTTTCACCCTCCAACTCACGGAATATATTCTCGAGTTTTTCCATCAGCGCTTGCTGGTCATGGTGAGCAATCAACAGTGCCTGTTGCTTGTCATTTTCAGCTCGCAGCAAAACTTCCTCATGCTGCTGACATAAATTATCAATATGCTGCTGTAGTTCCTCAATTCTACTCTGCATTTGATTAAGCTCATCTTCTTTCTGACCTTCCAGTGTATTCACCGTCTGTTGCAATCGCTTTTCAAGAGACACGCGTATTTGTTCTTTCTCTTCATTCAATTTTTTACTAGTATCTTCATTCTGCTTTTTCATATTGGCAATTATTTGCTGGAATTCAGCCTCCTGATTACCCCGCTGTTGAGTAAGATTTTGTTTAATATCTTGCGCTCGCTTCTCACTGTTCTCTAAATCTTTAGTCAACCTCGCAATTTGTCCCTTCAAAGCTTCTTGCTTCACCAGCAGTTCCTGTTGTTCTTTTTCCAATTGAACCTTCTTCAAATGCGTAGCCTCAAGATTTGTTTGTGTATCAAACAAAACACCTTCCAAAGTTTCCTTTTCACTTCGCATCGACGCCAGCAATTCTTGCATCCTCTGAAACTCTTTTTCATTAGTCTCCAAAATAACTTGCTTCTCCTCATTATCTTTAACAAGTTCTTCCAAATTTCTATTTATCCTAGCATTCATTTCATTCGACTGCTCCAACCGCTGCTTTGTCCTCATCAACTCTTCGTTCAAAGACTCCTTCTTACGGGCCAATATTGACAACTGGTTACTTAAATCGCTTCGTTCACGCATCACTTGCCCCAACTCGATCTCCACCTTCTCCTTTTCGATTTCCAAAAATTTAATCTTCTCATTTAGCGTTACCTTATCAGCTTCAGAGTCCAAGCGCGCTTGTTCAGCTTGCAACAATTCTTTTCTCAAAGAGCTCAAGTCACCCGACTGATCACAACATTGACTCGCTAGTTTATTTTTTTCTTCCTCCATCCTCTTCAATTCTTCTCCAAGCCTCTGTTTATCTTTCTCATGATTATTACAAATAGCCTCCGACTTTATCAACTCGTCCTGAACATCAGATTTCTCCAACAAAATTCTCTCCAACTCCAGCTCCAAATCCCCTTTACTTTTCTCAATTTGAGTTATCAAATTATCAGACTCAAGCTTCTGTTGTTCTAGCATATCTTTAGCCAGATATATTTTGCTCAACTCTTCTCTTACCGTCAGCAATTCTTCGCGCATCCGACTACATCGTTCTTCTTCAGATCTGAAGCTCATTTCCCTCACATCAAATTCTTTATTAATTCTATCCAACTCGCCCTGTAAATACATCTTATCATCCTCCAAGCTGTCGCAAACTTTTTGCAATTTACTATTTACTTTTTGCAATTTTTCATAATCGCTATTAAGATCCTCAATGGTATGATTCATTTCTACTTTACTCTTTTCCAAAGAAATCTTTTCTGTTCTCACAGAATCCAAACTTTTTTGCAGCATATCACGTTCTTGCAACAATTGCGTGCTCTGTGCTCGAGTAGTATCAAGCTGAATAATCAACTCAGTCGTGCGTTCTTCCAGTAATTGAACATTTTCTTCCGCCGAGTCACATTGCTTTCTCGTCAGTGCTAATTGCTCAGCATTAGTCTGTAATTTAACTTGAAGCTCATGAATAGTTAACTGATATTTATGTAACGCCGCTTGTACAGCACTTATCGTACTCTCAGCAAACGCAGGAATGGTATTGCTTCTTGTACCGCGTTTGGGTGATCTTTGAGGCATACCAACACCAGTTGGAGACAAATGAACATGCGGAGGAGGCTGAATATTTTCTATTTCCCGTGTTTCGGCGTCTTGAATAACTGCATGAGCAATATCACGCAAAGCGGCTTCCAATATTTCAACATCTTCTTGAATTTTAGCAGCTTGTCCAATGCCAGCTTCAGCCTTACCACATCTTTCTTCGATGCTATGAATTTCTCTGATCAATTGATTGATACGTTCATCCTTCATTCTAATTTCATTTTGCGCAACCTCCCACTGTTGTCTGATGTTCTCCATTTCTGATTTCAAATCCAAAGCTTCCTGAGCGTGGAACTGCTGAGTAACCGAAGATTGAAGAGAACTGGATTGAATTTGTAGCGCAAGTTTAACACCACTGCAAGCCGATGTCATTTCATTTGTCGCAGTTGATAATTTATTCTGAAATTTAGTCAAGTCTCTTTCAGTAGACGATTTCATGTCGGAAAAAATACGTTTGAGAGCGACAACATCGCGCCACAAATTCAACAAACGATGGTGTTCAGACGTATAGTATTCATTGAAGGCCAACTCTTCTTCCTTCCACTCGTCTTCTTTAAGAGTCATTTCTTCCCTCAGAACATCCCAGTCCGTGCTCAATTTTTGCAAATCATTAGTCAATGTTTCATTGGTTCTGTGAGACTCTTCTAGTTGATTTTTTAAAGACGAATTTATCTCCATAAGCTTATCCGAGCGCCTTCTCTCCTCATTGAGCTTGCGTATTGCTGTTTCCAGATCACTTATCTGCTCGTCGCGCAGCTCTCTCAGCGTCTGATGGGCAGCTTCCAGCGCAGAAGTACTGGGTGAAACAACGACTCGTGACACTTCTGCAGGCAGTGACTCGACCATCTGGTTCTCCAATTCCGAACATCTTTGCTTGTATTGGAGCACTTTTGCCTGTAAACGAGAAACCAGTGCAGCCTGATGCTGCTGTGCTTGCCTGTAGGTATTTAATCGACGTTTGTAACTCGCAGCTTCTTCCTCCAAGCGATGACGTAGCTCAAAGTTCTGTCGAATAAGCGTGTCCGGGTGTAATTCTTCATCGCTACCACGGTCTCCACCGCCAGTTTCCAATCCTCCAGGCTCTGCTCTTGCTCCATTTGACCCTGGCTGCAAAAATAAAGAAATAATTAATAGGAAAACAATTAAATATATAAAATATTAAATATGTGATAATTTTTGGGTTTGTAGAATAAAATTTTCATGCTAAAAAAATAAATAATTAATGAAAATTAAGTTAGCCGACATCTAATAATTTTTAGATTTTTTTTTTTATTAAAAAAAAATTTTCATTTGTAAAAATTTTGAAAAACTCCAAGTGCAATTTTTAAAAAATATTTTTTAGTTCTAATTTAATAAAAAAAAATCAAAAAATTAAAAACTTTGGCTAACTTTAGTATTATAAATAAAAAATTTTAGAAAATTATTTTAAAAAATTTTTTTTAATTTATATTTTTAAATTTCGAAGTTTTTAAAATCCTTAATATTCTAATAATAATAATAATCATAATTATGCTTAAAAATATTCTATTAACTTTACCGAGAAATCTAAACGTCGTCGAAACATTTTTTTAAATAATTAAAATCACATCACATGATTAATAATTAAATTATTTTATTTATTATAATTTAATATAATATATAAAATCATTTTTTTTCGACACAAGTGTCATTATTGTTTAACAACAACCTAGCTGTCAAATATTAATATTCATACTGCAGGTTATATATTTGTTTGTTTACGTTTTTAATTTAGTTCATGATTCTATCGCGCCAGTGGTCGAGCGCTACGCTCGCTTGTTATTATTATTTTCAAAAAAATTCCGCGGGCTCTACATATATAAAAATATTATTGAATTTACATAATGGCAATACTTTTAAAATTGCGTAAATTAATTATATTCTTATAAAATAAATACCTCGATTGCTTTTGCAGTGCCTCTGAGAAACGATGGCCGCCTTCTTTCAATCTGTCCTCTAATTGTCGAATGAGGAGGCCCTTTGGATAAAGTCTGCAATCAATAAAACAATACATTTTTGTTAACCCAGAAAAAAATATAGTATTTCTAATTCATTTAAATAATTTTAATTACTAAGAAGAAAAACAATTATTAAAAATTACAGTGTGTAAGTATAAAAAAATATTCATAGTTTTTTTAGGTTGAAAAAATAATATGAAAAAAAAAAAAAAAAAGTTTACCCAATATTCATGAGCAGTACTACAAGAATGCATAAAAAAAATTAAGTATGAGTAAAATATGAGTTGGAGCTTAAAAATCTTTCTTCATTGCTCATGTCGTGGAGTAACAGAGGAAAAAGGATAGAAATACAAGGTAACACCTGGCACAGTATGGCACCAATCGATGTATGATGGAACTAGCTGGTGGATACCTGCTTGCAAACCCAAGAACGTGCGTGCTATTTATTTTTATTGTTTTTTATTTACGATTTTTTCCAGATTTGTTCGACACTTTATATCATCCAAAACAAAAATACTTGATGTTCAATATAAAAAAAAAAAAAAAAAAAGTAACTATTAAAAAAATTTACAAAAGTATATTAATATGTAGCTGGATGATGATAATGATGATGTGATACTTTGATGGTTTCAGTATTACAGAATATCACGAGTTGTAACCATTACTTCAGGAAGTTAGTTCATGCAAAGTGCTAATAAATCCCCGGGAATTCACCACCTGGATTAATAATCATTAGAAACAGATAAACTGCTAACTATAACTGGCGTTTATCACCTATGTGATCTATTTCACAGCTCTATTTTAATTATCAGCTAGGCTCCAAAGTTCAGATCCTTGTCTGGGTAAATATTTACATGTTTTGTTCTTCTTCTCCAATCGAATATAATTTAGTGACTGAAAAATAAATCAGATATTTATTATTAAATTAGTGTTTACAAACTTGCTGTCCAGCGATTATCTTTTAAGTTATTAAAATATTATCTATTAATAATAAATATACTCATATTTACGCACACACAAAAGCTTCCATTGATATATAATTGTCTCGAGTACCGAACGAGTAAATGAACTTTGTAACAGACAATAACTCATGATATTTATTGCGTGACCGACAAATTGTACACACGCCTGATTGGAAAACAACTCTCGTCACGATTTTATTTGGAATTTGAGCTGTCAACTCGATGACACCCCTTACTCATTAATCCAATCGCTTGTTTCTAATAATAGAGATAAAAAGTAATCTTTCTATCAATGATTCGCAGTAAACTATTTTTATTTTAAAATTTTTAACAATATTAATTTTCTTTGCAGAATAAAAATCAATCATCATCTTCATAATGATAAGCGCTGGATTTTTCCAATACTTTTACTACTTTCTCAGTAATTAATTCAAGATAAACATAATCTATTGATTGATGTCGATTAATTAATAACAGTAACAATTCTATTAATTATTGCATTATCATTTTAATAATAACGTACAAGTATAATTATAATTGTCTGAAAATATTAATGTATTATATTTTGTTACAGATTATTAATAATATGTGTCTGGAGAATGGGAGATTATTATCGTGCAAGAATGTTACTTTTGAATTTCTCGTGCGCGCATGGTCGCATAATCACTGAGAATCAACAATAACTTCTGATATCAACCTTGACCATGAAACGCCATTACATCGGCAATTGGGTTAACAAACTGCATACTTATATCCAGACATTCTGAACTTGGATTTATAAAGTTCAATCACATCTACTACACGTATGATCGACATCATCCAGAGTTTTTAGATACACAGTAAAAAATTTTGCGTCATTTCGTCAAAAAACTTAGTGTTAAAAATTAAAGTGTTAAATATTTAACACAAAAATTTTTAACACTAAGTTTTTTGACGCAATGACGCAAAATTTTTTACTGTGTACACTTAACGTAATTTTATACTTCTGTATAAACTTCAACTTCAACTTTACTATCAGCTAGTGCCAAGTAGAAGTCGTGAAAAATGTCGAGCTAGGATCACAGATCAAAGTTTAAGGAGTCTACGATTAAAAAATGAAAAAAAAAAAAATTATTTTTATGCATTGACGTTCTCATTCCTCGATACAACAATTTCATCAGATCCATGTATCAGAGTATCACGGAAACTATATAATACTGTGGTCAATGTTCAAACGTCGCGACGCTACGTCGTTATCACTGTGCATACTTGACAGTAATATCCGTCTCAAGGCCTTTTATTACACTTTGCATATTATATATATCATCTACTTAGAATATGCGTTTCGTAATGTTCGTAAGAGTGCCAAAAATATTTTTTTTATCAAATAGATACTAACTATCTGCCCAAACTTCTTTTACATTGGTGATGATCTTCAAAAAGAGGCCAGCGATTAATCTTCACCCAATTATATGTTTTAAAATAACATACTTCCTGCTAAAAGAATTTTATTATCTGCTTTTAAAAAATACTTCAATGATAATTATTTATTATTGAACGATTTATTAATCAGATTAGATTTATAGATCGCTGGATTTTATTTATCGCATTCAATTAATTTTTAATCGGAGTAATTATGTCACGAAAATAAGAAATTATTATTGTAAAAAGTGAAGTATGTATTTTTATTCATGCGTTAGTGTGCCGGAGGTATTTTAATTTTATTTAGGAAAACCTGTACTGATCAATACTCAGGCCATATGTCGCATTTATATATGCTTTCCTCACACTTTTATGCATTATTAATATGTACACACGTGTCACAGCACAAAACACGTGCTTGAGGTGTCTAAATGAGAGAGGGTAGAATAATAGAGCAAATATGAACCTTCAATTGTCTTTTAACTGAGAGAATTGATTTTTTAGTTTTATTTTATATTCTTCCTTGTATTTCATTATTTTTTATTTTTTAATTTGATTTTAATTACATATACAAATTTAAAATTTTTAATAATTTTACAAGGAAGAATTTTTAATGTATACAATTTTGATTTCAAAATAATTAACTGAAATTATCAATATTATTTTTAAAATAATGAATTCTATTAAACTTCATATTTTATAGAAAATTTAAAATCATTTTAAGATTATCGCAATTTTATAAAAATTAAAAAAAAAGTATAACATATTGTAAACATGATCAAAAGTTTTTAATTTTATCAGAACAAGATAAGGTTTCGAACTGCGCGTGTCTGATCGTAGGGTTGAATGGGGACTGGGCACGTGTATCTACTCTTATTCATTACATCAACTATGCGTCATCAATTCATATATACGGAAGTGACCAGTGGTCATTTGAAGAAAACAAAATTCACTCCCTTTTTATGTCCGCTGGATATATATTTCAGAATAATATATTTAAATTAATATAAATATAAAATCTTGTATTTTTGCTTCCAATAATTGCAAGTATATCCGTAATTAATCTTGAGTAATCTGCGTACTAAATTATTTTGATAATAGATGATAGAGTATTCTAGTCTAGTATCTAGACAATTATTAAGTAGCACGCACTCGCTATTTTACTCAAGTTTCGTTGATGAAATCTATCGATTCTCTACTAACTGTAAGTTGAGAAGTCTAATGTTACAATTGGATCCATTATACCAGATTATCAAAATCTATGTATGCTATGTACTGATTCAAATTTATATCAATAATTAATAATTGAATTCTTACCCGTGGCATTTTGATTTCAGACTTGAAGAATTTGATCACAAACGAGCGGAGAGACTTAGCAAGATGATCTCGAAGACGGACAGAGTTGAGGCGGCCAAACGATTCTCAGGGCTCGGTCCAGCCCTACGAGAAGGTGAGAACTTACTTCCGGTGCGTTCACGACGAACGACAGGTCTTTACTGACTGATTCCAGACTGTCGGGTGGAACTACCACCACTTTAACCACCAGCAGTGATCGCGTGTCTGGCATACTCGCCGGCTCTTCTGAAACCGCGTGGGGCGCCCTAGCACGGGGGTGGCTTTCTAGCTTCCTGATGATAGACATCAAGTTTCTATCTCTATCACACCAGAAAAGCTTATCAAATCTTAACATGCTTGGAAATGCTGATCCAGTTTCTTCGCAGGTAGAATTTTCATTCTGGACAAATTGTATTGGAATTAATTCCTAAAAAAAAAAAAAATTAACAACTTAAATACAATATATAAGTACACAGAATAAAAAAAATTCTATTTGAATCAAGAGAAAAATTCTTGAACCAAGAAAATAATTTTGAAAAGTTTCATTGTCTGAATCAAGACGAAAAATTTTTTAACCAAGGAAAATTTTCTTAGCTTAAGAATTTTTCTACTTAAATCAAGAAGATGAAGTTTTTTAAAATTATTTACGTAATTCAAGTAAATTTTTTTTTCTGTGTATATAAGTATTATAGATACTTACTTATTTATGTCAATAATAAGTACGTATTATTGATTTTGTCTTATTTTTTTAATAGTTATAAAAGTTTACCCGTGTTGCAGGTCTAATGAGTTTTGGGTTTCAGGCGCCAGTGCACTTGTAGTAAATCAGTTGCGGATTGATGGCTGTTGTCACGACATTGAGGTCAACGGTACCGGCATCACCAGAATTCTTTTCTTCACCATCGCAATCCCAAATACAAGCTTTACTCTGCTTCATATTATTTTATCTTATTTATTTATTTATATTACATCATGATTTATAAGCATTAAACTCGCCAAGGAATAAGACACGCGTGCGTTATTCTATGAAGAATCTAAGGTACTCAAGAAAAACGCGAAACAGACGATACTCTAGTGATTTCCTTCGTCACGATACAATATTGTAAATACACAAAAAGTTAGACGATATAACTTAAAAATATTTATTCATGATTTTTCTATCTCATTCAGATTGCGCGCTGGAAGATAGTCTACTGCTTGCTTGAGGATGGCATTTTAACTGAGCACGCAAATAATATTTTACAGGGCCAATGTCTTCGTGATCCGTGACAGGTACGTTGACATATCGCAAATAAAAAATAAAATTATTAAATAACTTGTAAAATAATTACACTTAAGTATAAACCATAAAACTAAATATAAAAATAATTATTTTTAATTTATCTAAAGCCTTGACCTTGCTGATAAGTAATACTGCTTTAAATTATCAAATAAGGTATTTTATGTGTTTACTCAATTCCTGTTTATACTCGTTATTACCACATTAAAATTTGAAAGTTTGTTTTTTTATAATTAATTTATCAGTTGTTATTGCAGATTTGATGTTTATAAAAATATGATGAGCTAAGCGTAGCAACAGGGTGAATAATCTACTAGGAAATATAAATACAGAAAGGAACCATTGGTATGTAAAACCGGATGGATTATTTCCCATTATAAATTGCTGGTACCAGGCCCTACGTGGCACACGCTACTGCCAGTAAGAAAACAACTGTAAGACCAATTCACTTTCAAACTTGTCTTATCTGGATTATTTTTTCACTTTTTTACCTAAATATTCTCTTTTTTACAGGTACGGTTAATTAGTAGTCTTATCTAAAAATAACTTTGCTCTGAAAGTCATCTGGATTTTCTCATCTTGTAGCTTTTGGATGATGCAACTGCTTGCGTGACGAAACAGGATGAACGACCTCTGTTCTTCACTCACTTAAAATGAGCTTAAGAAAAGAAGAAGAATAGCCCACAATAATGGAAAGAGAGTACAAAGAAAATCAAATTCAGAATAACCGTAGAGGAGCCAAGCTATTGATTTATTTAGCTCGGTTGTCAAGGGATTCATGATAATAAAACTTTTTTTTAAATAAAAAGTTAGTAGTTGATGTCAGTGATGACATGTTATACTATTTTTTTTTTTACTACAATTTTTTCATGTCTTTTATCTCATAGTTAGTTTTAATTCTCTTAGAAAACTTATTAGCACAAAAAGTTAGAAAAGTTTTTTTTAATTTAACTTTTAAAAGAATTTATTTAATCTTGTTCATAAAAATTATTTACAGAGCTCTGGCTGATTATCAATGTTTTTACTACTAACTAAAAATGAGATTATAGCATCTCTTAATTTAGCATTAAAATTGCAAGTGTGAAGTAATGAATTAAATTATAAAACTAAAAAAAGATTAAAAATTAATGTTTAATGTTTAATAAAAAAAAGCCGTGACAATGATAACAGAAAAGTCGCGGGCATCGCTAGATGACGACCCCGGCTTGTCAAAGTCCGTAAACTCGGGTCATTTATTCGCAAGTTATATGAATGTATCGGTAATTACTGCGTAATGAAATTAAATGTCACACCTCGGTAGTTATTTGTTTACTTTTTCTCCGTATTTACGATAAAAATTAGAGTATCTCGAAGAATAATCTTGAAGAAAACAAAAAATGATAATACGTGAGATTTGGAGTGTTTAATCTTATAAACAGCACTTGGATTTATATCAGAAAAAAAAAAATTATTCTTACTAATCGTAGAACTTGTTATTCATTAAATTTATTTATTTTTATTCACCTTAAATCAAATGTCATTTATTGAATTAAAATTCAATACGTAATGCTCTACATAATAACAATAACAATATTAATATCTTAAATACGTATATTAAAATATGACATCTAAATACTAGAATACTATTAAAAAAATAATGTCACAGATTATTTATCTGTGTATACATATATATATATATATATATATTTTTATAAATCAAGTCATTCACACTTTACTAATCTCTTGCGCTCTCATTAATTCTTCATATAATTATATTCTTATTAAGATATATTTAACATTATTTCTTTACAAAGTAATTTGTACGTATTTAATATAATTTACATAAATAATAACATTAATATAATATAATAATAATAATAATAATATATGTACATTTATATATAATTAACACGTTAAAATATATTAATAATAATTGTATTAAATAGCCCCTATGTACTTGTATGCTCAAAGTATACTCGCGATAATCCTACACATGTATTTAATAATATTTGTCGAAAGTATGTAGACTACGAGATAATGCCGTAAATTTTCCACTCAAGCTTACATATTATAATATCATCAACAGCATACATAATAAATATAAATATATGTATTTATATACCAAATCGTATTATTGGCGAACAAAAATATGAGCTACAATCGGTGATAATATTTTGTTTTTTTTATGTTTCAATCACTCATACATTCTTATAAAAATATTAATTAATGATCATCATTTTTAATTCATTTATACAGTGAGATCTTTAAATTAAAGTTACGTAAAAGTTTTTTTGTCCTAAAAAAATATTGAAGATAACTTTAATTAAATAATTAAACAGTATAAATACATCAATTTATTTTTTGATATTCTAGAACATTCACTGTACAACAGCAAGAGGTGGATTATGTTGATGAGGCTGCGCCCTGAGCGCTCCTGCAATGCGTATGAACGGCAATTGAAGATGATAGTAAGCGCAGTAAGGTAAAGGGTCCCAGTAAACAAAAAGAGCTTCCCTTTTGTTGAGGACACTGCCGAAGAAATTGGTTGCTTTATCAGCAGCCTGCTTTAAGGCACTTGGAAAAGCTTTTTCTTTGCTCTGACAGGGTTCACCGACCAGCAGTGGACCCGAGCTTTGCCGTGAAAAGTGCCTGCAGGGTCGCCAAACTAGTCGTGGATGGACACTCGTCAAGCAGACATAAGGTAATCCCACACTTACGCGACATCCTATTGGAAAGATCTCGTTATTTTCAGGAGCGACCAGTCTGAAGCTCATGTGACCGCTGATAGGCATCAAGCTGAAGGAGCGCGCGAAGAAAAGCTCCAGCCACTGCTGAATATCATTCCTCGTCTCCGGTATCAAGCCTTTAGCTTCATCAACTCGGCAAATAACGTTGGCGACCACCTTTGAATTTTTAACTGTCGTACAAGTAATGTAATGAGGACCTCCCGGGTCACGGATTACTACCCAAGGTTTCTTGTGACTGATGTCGTGACGAATATTTTGAAACTCTTGAGCACTAGGCGGTAAGGCGAGTTTTATGCGATCCCGAAGACCAGCTGGACCCGCTGCCAGCATCATGTGTCTGTCGGATCTTAGCGCTCCAGTTTCGTAGAGCAGCAAAGCATCATCAACAGATTTCAGGACAAAATAAACTGGAGTTGTTAATCCCGCAGACTGACAACGTTTTAATAATTCCAAAGGGTTATCTAGAGCTGTTACTTCACTGGCACAAGGCACAAAACACTCACAACCCAGTGTCTCTAAATGAATTTTTGCTAACGCGTCATAGTAAGCTGGGCTCGTTGAACTCACTGGTATGTAATAGGTAGCTTTTTCTTTCTCGACGATATTTTTCAATGCTTTTATGTACTCCATTGCGTTGTTCAAGCTGGGTCGTGGGACTGTGTAGAACTTTGAGCAAGCTATTGAGAAGCGCGCTAGACTAAATAAACCTTCTATTTCACAGACAATTACTCTCGCACCTGCTTTGTGAAAATTTCTGGCGAGATGTACAGCTTGGACGGTGCTTCCACCGCTTATCAACACGCATCTTTTGTGACGAGCTAGCTCAGATGCCGGTGTGTAGAGAATTGAGATGAAATATTTAAGGAATGTCAGAGGCAACTGGAGAATCACGAAAAATATGCAGACCCAAAAAGACGCCCAAACTGTTGGAGCTCGCATCATGAATAATGTTGTGTTGATCGTTCCACTGACGATGTGAACGATGAAATTAAAGTACCACATTATTAAACGTATCAAAATACCCCGTTTAGGTATGCTGATTTTTGGCTGCTGTTTAGTATCAATTGGTGGTGATGGTACTGATGGTGGTTGATTTTGATGCTTACATTTATTCCGACGCAATATTATCGTGGGTGCTGCTGCTGCTGCTGCTGCTGCTGCTGCACTACTAGCAGATTTTTCAGACCAGGTAGAAGATTGAGACGAGTTTGACATGTCTGAAATAGAACGTTTAAAGTTTGTCATCATGTTCATTTGCGTTGGCGAGCTAGAGAGAGGAGAGCTTGGCAATATTGGTGATACGCTATTGCTGCGTGATCCAGACGGGCTTCTAGATCCATAAAAGTGTAAAGAATTGTCACTCGCACAAGTCGGCATCTTGAATTATTTTTTTTAAATGTACAATTTTTAAACAAATCAGTTTCACTTTTTATCCGAAAATGCACACTAATGAAGACTATATATTCATAATCCGGTTTTGGTTTTAAAAGGAGTTTTGGAAAATTAGTTTATGTTACAGACAGGTTCACTTAGTCTCACAGCATTATTATTTAAGAGAAGTTATTATTTTTATTTTAAAATATAATAACATCCCAGCAAATGAATTTGCAAGTATGCAAACGCGTATTGAACTGAGACCGGTTCGTCAAAATCACGGTCTCTTATGAGGTCTGTATCCCAAGCGCACTATGAACCGAAGTGCTTATCTAATCGTTGTACACCACTTTAGACACTGCGCGTGGAGAAAAAAAATAAATGGCGAAATCATCCATTACAAGAGGATTAATCCTTCCATAATTTTGCATGACAAGTTTATCATATGCTCTTAAATTATCACAAAAAATCCTTACTGATTTTGTTAATTATCAACATTTTAAGTCAAGTTTGTGTCAATGAAAAATATTTTGGATAAACTTCAAGTTTGATATAATTATCATATTTTTTTTAAGTATTGTCAAAATTTAACTGTAAACAAAAAAAAATTATTGTTATAAAAAATATCTTCATTTATAAAGTAAGAATTAGAAAATTATAGATTTTACAAAACTATAAGTAAGACACATTTCATCTCCAATGATATTTTTCTCACTATGAATTTAATGTCAACTCACGGAAAAGTTTTATCCAACGACGATTTTAAACGTTTGTCATAAAACTGATAAACATTGCATTTTATACTCCACTTTTCCAAGATCCTTTGACCTCTAAGAGATTATACATACTTACATATGTTAATCTATCCGGTTTAATTTTTTAAAATCCAGATATAATCGATTAATCATGTCGACTTTTTTTTCGACTCTTGGAATGTCAATACTTATCAACACGGGTCTATTGTGGTTTATCAAACGTCATGTCAGTGACAAAAAACACCTGAGTGAATTTTTTTTTTAGCTATTTTAATTTTTACACTTCAAATCTTCAGACCTCAGCCGCCTAGCCGCCTGAAAGGTCAAGTTGGCATGACTGAATAAAGTTGATAGTAAATTTTCTATATTACCGATAAAATATTGGCAGAATTGATTTCGAGAAAGTTTATTGTATAGAATTTGAAAAGAACCGTTGACATTTACTACCCCGGGTGTTTCTGTGATAGCTGAGAGATATTTAGTAGCCGGTTTTACATACTTAATAACATCAATTTAGTTTACATCTTTTATTTAATTCTGCTTTCCGAAGAGATCCCATAATAATTGATTAATTAGTGTAATAATTCACGAAATTATTTCTCCAATTACAGATTGCTGTATAATATAAGTGGTCATCACTGTTATTAAAGGTTAGCGACTAAGATAATCAACAAAATGCCTCCAAAACGTCGAGTAAGAACTAAACAAGTTGAGCCTTTTATGTAAGTTATTTTTTTTTTTTTTTAGTAATTTATATTTACATGCTATTGTTATAAGTGATATTTTAAATTATAAATTCAATACTTTGATGATAATTTTTTTTTTTTTTAGACATCCAGCTCTTGAAGAGGAACAAGCAGCAGCTCCAGATATCACTTTAGAGCAAGCTAAAAATCGAATTAAGGAATTAGAAGAGCAGCTCCGGGTTATGTCATTGCAAAATCACCAGGGTAACAACAGTGTCCTGGTAAATCAAACGCTTGATTCGTCAAAAGTTCGTTCGAAGAGTGCAGTAGATTCTCCACGAGTCAAAAAAACCCGTAGAGGCTCTTCCAGTGTTCTGAAGAAAGACCAGAATGCAGGATGTTCATGCAGTGGTGACTGCGGATCTAAGAGATGCGGCTGTGTTAAAAAAGATAAATCTTGTAACGAATTTTGCAAATGCACTGATTTGTGTAAGAACCAGGTATGTATTTATTTATTTATTAAATTTTGATCTTAGAGCAAGTGCTCCCTAAGGACCATCATAATTAAGTACATAATGAGTATATATTAAATTAATATAATATTAATTATAGTATAGATATGATATTAATTAATAGAATATAACAGATTAATTATTGATTTAATTATGGTGACATAAGATAATAAGTATAATAATGATATAAATTATTATTGTACGTATGTGCTTGTAAATTACTGCTACTTTTTTTTGACTAATTTTTGTTTATTAATTCTGATGTGTCTGTTGAAGGTTGACCGAGCAAGTGAAGATGAAGATGAAGACGATGAAGATAAAGAGAACGTGCAAACCCGTAAAAAAGAGACTAAAAAGAAAGTTGAGAAAAATCCAACACCGAAGGAACGTGTTACTCGTAATCGTCAGGTGAAAATGATGAATGAGGATTCAAGCTCAGACGGAACTCCCTTGCAACCTCCTAAACCAAAGTCGCTTTTTAATACTCCCGAACCGGAGAATCGTTCTTATAGTAGTGAAACATCACCTGAAGAAGTGAGATAATTTATTTTATCAAGCATAATTGTTCTGCAAAGACAATATTTTTATTTATTTTTTTTTTTTTTTTTAGGAAAGAATTATAAACCCGATGAAGCCAAGGCACCAACTACAGCGTAGTCCTCCAAATAAAAGTATGAATACTCTTAATAGTTCAGAGGAACTTGATGTTACAGTTAGAAATCGTTCGCCTTCACCGAATGTGTCTAGCACATCTTTGCAAGTCAATTCGTGTAAGCTTGAAGTGCCCTCACCCCCAAGTAATCCCATGAAGCCTAGACATAAATTAGCGCGCAGTCCAATTGCTGGTCCGTCATCGGATCATACCACTCGGTCGAAATCTAAATCGCCAAACTTGCAGAAAAATTCTTCCGGTTATGACGATGTCGACGTATTTTTATCTGTTTCAATGGCAGATTCATCGAAGCCTATTGTATCACCGACTCCACCACCGGGTAAACAATAGAAGAGTTTTTTATTTTATACGTGATATTCATTGTTAATAGATGAACTGAAATGTTAACATTTCATTATTTTTAGATATTTACAAAGAAAAAGTTGATTGGGATCAACACCAATCTAACCTGGTCAAATGTCGTAAATGTCACCGCACGTTTTTTGCTCACCGTATTGATACTCATGAAAGAAGTTGCAAAAAAATTTAAGAATCAGCTGGCTGGCCAGTTATGCATTTTTAGATTTATACGTAGATTATTTTATATATTTATTGGCTTAAAGGTAAATGTCGATGGTACAGTGATAAAATTTTCTATTCAAGTCCTCACACAAAAAAAATATTTTATATTAAATTAAAATGATTGATTATATTCTTACTAATTTATCGGAAAATTGAACTCGAAATTATTTATTATACTTCTATTTTTATAATTTATTTAAAATGATGTTAATATTAAAGCTGTTATTGATCTTGGCTAAGTAGTGTTTCTGTCGTGCTAAACTAATTTATCTTTTACTCAATTATAAAATTATAAATATTGTAATAAATTTTTCAGTACTTACTATTTCAAATTTTTTTTATAGAATTAACATAATTATCAAAATAGCTGCTAACATTTTTTTTATTATTAATATAATACATTATAATGCCATGACTAAAACTATAATAAGTATGCTTAGAATTTTCTAAAAAAAAAAAAGAAAAAAAAAACAAGAATAATAATCTCTTTTATAAAGAAAATTTAGCCCGATGACTATTTTTATATTGCTTAGCTGATAATTTTATAAATTACTCATAGCTTATATTATAGTGAATACATTTAAGTAAATTAAAATAGAAATAACCGTTTATTGAGGTATATTAATGCAATGTTAATTAAGTGTATTCATATGACTAATCAAGTTGTATTAAATTAAAGTTTTTATTAAAGATTATGATTATATTACTCGTGTTGAAAATAATTTATCCTACTAGTAATAAAATTAACTACAATCGGTCCGAATATTATTGTATTATAATAATGGAATATATATGGTGAAACAATGGTAGAAAATTGTTTACAAAACTGATAGCGATAAATTTACTAATGACTGTGAAGAAATTTCTTTTCTCTTGATATATTATTTACAATCACATCAACAATAACAAAGCTATTTTTTTTTTTAAATATTTACTTTATTTTTCTCAAGTAATCTGACATTTTTTAATCATTACTGTAACAAAGTAGCAGTTGACATGTTATTATAATTTTTTATTTGTTATATCTTAATAATATATTATTCACACATACATAAATTTATATCTAAAATTAAAAAACAAAACCATTCATTGAATAATTGTCATAAATATAATTCAGCTGATTGACTTAATTACATTTTCACGTCGTTTAGACATTTATTTTTCGAATCATTCAAAACTACGGATAAATAAAAAATAAAATTAAAAAAAAAATCACGATAAAATTATAATAGAAATAAACAAATACTATAAATTTTATTTTACTCTTATCGAATAAATAACTTTTGTCTCCAATATAAACTTTTACTTCGTTTGTATTAAATAGATAAAACGATGCAATGATTATTATAATGCATATAAATAAATGATATTGTCACAATTATTATATACAATTTAAATATATATTTTAAAATATTGTTACATTTAATACTGTCAAAAAATTATTAAAACCATATAATAATTAAATCACTTTAAAAATTACTAAATAAAATAATAATTAACAACAAATAATATCTGTAAAGGCACTAGCTCATATTGTTGACTAGAGAATCGATACTAGTGCCTTTACAAATTTAATATTTTTATTACAATAATTAAAATCAATTATATAGTATACAAATAACTTAAAGCCATTCTACTTTTTAATTATCATCATTCAATTCAAACATTTTCATTCTCACAACCCAACATTATTGAATTTTATTTCTCTCTTTTTCTTTATATAATTAATGATGTCTAATTTTTCATTTATATAGATATTTGTTTTTATTATTATTATTATTATTATTATTATTATTTTAATGCCAATGCAATGGATCTACGTACTTTGTTCTTTTTCTTTTTTTTATACTATAAACGTTTGTTTAACTATTCACTGCAATTTTCTACATTAAATTTTCTGCGATTATTAACTAACTATATAATAACAATAGATAATAATATTGATTCCGTACAATTTTTATACACCATTGATTATTCAGCCTTGTTGTTATGATTTGGCTTTTACAACGGATTTTCACCGTTCTAATACTTGGGTCTAATTTTTCATCTTTAGAATTTGCTTTTTATTTATTTTATTATTTATTATATATAATTAATAAATATATTCTCCAATCTTCTAAAAGATCTCAGCATTATTATAATTATCATTTGTTACAAAATGCAAAATACATTTTCTTTTATTATTTTTATATAATCATCAATTCCACTGAATTATCTATCAAGTAAGATAAATTAAAATATGCAAGCTGCCTTTCAGAAGATTGAATCAGTGAATAAATACTTTATTATTATTATTATTATTAATTTTTTTTTTTTTTTAATGTCTTCCATGTCCATAGGTCTTGATCATTAGGTATTACATCAATAGATTCTAAAGAATCACACATTTTTAAGATCTATACACACGTAATTATTGTTATACTAAGCTAAGCCGTTGTATAATTTATAACACTCCATTTGAACTCTTGTTCAAGCACATCTTATGTATTGTCTACAATAGCACAAATTTTTATTTATAAATTAAAAAGCAGATATCAGTTGTTGCAAAATAAAAAAAATACAATTAAAATTTTTGATCACTAAAAAAAAAACAATAATTCTATTGCGTTTGTTAGTAAAAACTATTTCAATAAAAGAAATTATAAAATAACAAACGAAAAAAAATTAAATTGTGACAAGTAAAAAAATCACAGTTTGTAAGTAATGCATCAGCCCTTAAATTCTAAACATTCATGATTGTTTGTGATACATAAAATGTATCAATTAGTAATATAATAATGAATAAAAAATAAACATCAATATTCCCAGCTAAAAAATGATTGTACAGTAGGTACTCGACTGAAAATTCTATTTTGTCAACTATTCCCAGAATTTATCTCAAAAATCAATTAATAATTTATCAATAAAAATTCTAATACCACAAAATACTTCAATTAATTTAAGCATACCTTACGAAATGTGCCAACAGTTTTTACACTGTATAATAAATACATACTCACAAGATTAATAAGTTCCTATAGAAGTAATGTGAGGACATTTGGTGGTTTATCGGACAATTGTGATTCTAGTTTCAGTAATCAAGCAGTAGTATTACCAACAGATTAAGTATTACTATCAGTAGAACTTTGAGATCTCAGCTGTGAATGACATCCCTGACACACTCTGACAGGCTTCAGGATTCCCAGTCTTGAAATTTTAGACTCGAACCTGCTGCACCTTGAAAACAAAAATAAAAATATATTAACATAAATAAAACAACACTCTGAATAATTTATTTAAATTAAAATAAATAACCCTTACTTTGAACAAAAAACTTGTCCGCAATTACGACAGTGATGTCGTCTTTCATATAGATTAAATCTAACTCCACAACCAACACAGGAATCAGCGCCTTCATCTTTAAGCCAGTGATCAGCTACAGTGCGTCCAGGTTGCTCACAAACGCTCCACGAGAATACTCGACCCCGAGTATCACCGACGTATACAGTTTTGTGGTCTTTCGAAACTGCCAAAGCCGTTATCGAAGCAGGCTCTGCGTTATCTTTGCGATCATAAGCTGTGTGCATAGTCAATTTACTTCTAAAAACAAGCTGCCTCTGCCATTTGAATCCATCCCTCAGAACATTCTGCGGGTTTATTCTCTTGGGTTTGGTGTCTGCTTCACTGACCATGACAAAACTGTCAGTCAAGCTGGTGTCGCTTTTGCTGGTCCTCAGAGCACTGTCAGAATCAGTAGTGAGAGTGTGAGTAGACTCGTTAGCTTGTATTCCTTCACTGTCAGCTCTGCCACCTCCCTCACTTTTCCTAAACATCGGGTTACCCCGGCTCTTTCGCCTCAAGACCACAGTTGGAGATTGTGAATTTTTGGAGCATACTTTATTATTAGAACTATTGCCAGACTCATTATCAGAACATTCTTCCTTTTCTTCATGAAGACGAGAAGCTTCCTTTAGAGTTTCAGCTTCAGACAAACTGCTCTCGGAGCCGCTTTTCATCATCAGACTGGACTCTTCAGCAGATATACTCATCTGTTTGACCAACTCATGAACTCTCTTCTTAGTACTTTCAGTTCTTTCTTCTTCAGTGCTGGGTTGTTTCTTAACCGCTTTCTTCTCAGCAAATTCCTCAGGCTTTTCTTCTTCAGCAGGCACCTGGACGTAGTCCATGGACCACATTCGTGCAACACCATCAGTGGATCCAGTCATAATAACATTTTGCGAGTCCCACTCGTGCGTCTGACTGAAAGCGACACACAAAATCTGCTGCATTCTATCAGCACGTCCCACACACGTGTTAACACTCGCCAATTCCTCGCCATTGATACTCCAGACGTGGAGCCAAGTTGCCGCACACGTCGCAATGTCACCCGTGAGATCATTTATCGCGACAGCCGCCACTGGACCTGCATGACCTCTTAATTGCCTGACGAAAAGACACCGTGAGAGATCCCAAATGATAGCCGTTCCATCACGCGACCCAGAGACAATAACATTGTAAGCGGGGCTTGATGACAGACATGTAACTGCTTCTGTATGACCGTAAAGACACTGCTTGATTGATAATTGACGCTTCGAGTACTCCCAGACTGTAACTACTGAGCTTGTCCCAGCGGTGACTATTAACTTGGAAGACGGACAAACACAAGCGACTATTTCTCCGTTGCTTTGCATCATCGCTTCACAAACGAATATCGCTTTTTCGCTGTCATAATTACCTATTCTAAGCGAGTGATCAGCAAAGCCCCATGCTACGTATTTGTTAAACGAGGG